TTTTCACATCATCTCATCATATTCACATAGTCTCTACAGAGCATTCAAAATCATATCAAAACTGGTCTATTTTCAAAAATAAACACATATTTATACATCTCATTCAACAAGGAATACATCAGAACAATCAGAAAGCAAAACAGAAAACATTAATATTTTGCCTGTTTCTTATAGGGTTCCCACAGGAACCCACAGAGCACTCTAATTCATATCAAAACCTGTTTATTTTCAAGATTAGACACATATTTACACTCAGCAAATATCAAGAAACACGATAGAAAACTCAAAAGGTAAAACAGAAAACATTTAAAATTTGCCTCTTACAATTATTAATACATTCCCTTAGGGTTTCCCATAGGAACCCATAGAAATCTCAATTCATACAATTGGGAAAAATACCTCATACATAAGCATACAAAAATACAACAAACACAGGATTGGGGGCCAATCCCACTACCCACCATACAATCTCACACCCAGAGCAAGGTTTCTCACTCCCCCTTACTTCGATAAGTAGGTGCCGAATCTTGTTGGTCGCCCCCTCTAGGTTCCCCTTCGTCTTCAGAGAGAACAGAGGAAAAAGATTAGAAAATGAAAAAATGAGTTTTAGAGAGTGAAAAATGCTCTATTTATAGGCATCATACCGCGGCCAGAACGGCCTGTTTCGAATCCAGAACGGCTCGTTCTGAGCCCGTAGAACACGTACAAAAGCCTCTCCAAGAACGGCCCGTTCTAAAACCAGAACGGCCCGTTCTGGGGTTTTCGGAACAGCCCGTTTCAAGGTGGAACGGTCCGTTCTTAGTCAATATTTTTTCTTTTAAAAACACATCCGGAACGGCCCGTTCCCAAAGTGGAACAGCCCGTTTTGGGTTGAAATTTTACTCAGGCATGCTCGAGTTGGAACGGCCCGTTGCGGGGCTCTGAAAATCCAGAATTATTAATTAATAAATAATATATATATATATATAATTATAACAAAATATCATAATTAATAATATTATACAAAATAATTTTCATAAATGATTATTATTAAAAAC